ACACACACACACACACACACACACACACCCCTCTTTAGAATGTATTTTACAAAGATTTGCATCACATTCCACCATGTTCAAATGCAGACAGTCAAAGGAAATACTTCCCTCCTTCTATCATCCTCACCTATTTCACAGAATTTTCCTCTAAATGGCTCAGGGCATATACAGCTAAACTTGGATCTTATCCTGTGTCTCTTACAGGTGCCTCCATTTTTGCAAGGATTTGGTCGACAAGCGGATTTTGCTGGCAATGTTCAAAAAATAAAACAGATTAGAGCATTAAAATGAGACTGATACATGTGTGAAGAGAACAAGAAGCTTGTTGTTGTTTAGTCGTTAAGTTGTGGCCATCCTGATCTCCTGAGGGAGAGTGTTCCATATGGCTTGACTAGGGGGGAAATACCTTCTGTCTGGATTGAGGTAATGTTTTAAATAGTAACTGTAAAAATTTGGAAACCAAATATGAAATTATTCTTAGAATATTAAAACATGACATCTGTAACAGAATTTAGGAATTGATGACAAGTGTCTGACCACAAAAATTTCTCTCACGTTTGGTACTCACCTTTCCCACAAAATGGTTCTTTGTAAGGGTGTCTGCAATGGCACCGATAATAAGGAGCTTCTAAAGTCACAAGGCAATCTCCTCTATTGCAGTTTATTGTTTCACAGGTATTCTTCACTGTGGTTTATAGAGCAAGTAAAAAGAACAAGAAAATTTATAATATACTGTAATACACATTCTCATAGGCTTTCTAATTTGTCATACTGCACACTAAAGATTTAGCTCATTGAATTTATTACATTGTCTCATTGGACCTCCAATTCATCATCTTTCTATTCTCCCCAATACAAATTTTGTCCAGGGGTTATCAGTCCTGAAGCAATTTGTATGCTAAAATCAACTCACATGTTTGTCAACAGACATTTTGTCTAGTTGATTAGAATTAACCTTTGGTCTATATTTTATCTTCAACCTATGAAGACAGCTTGAAACAGCTTTGGTACCCTGTCTTCAGATGTCTGTTGTATATGTTACATCATATGACTCTTTCATATCACACTGAATGCCTCTGTAGCAATGTATCTTGGGATACCTGATATGACTCTGCTATGGAAGCATTCTTGGTAATTCACAAAATTAGGGATATAGAGAATACTTGCAAAATTCTTGGCTGTCATTGCTTTTGGCTGTCTAGACCAGAGAGAAACATAAAGGTGAATTTCTCAGCTGCTTCAGATCCCTCACTTTTTGTGACAGCCAGACAAAGGGCCTTCATTTTGCCAAGTCCTTGAAACTCACATGCAGCAAACACAGCTGGATTGTGTGATTATGAGAAAGACACAGTCTGGAGCAAGACTTTAAACCATTAAATATCCCCAAAACTAAGGATCAGTCCTTTCAGTTTTTCCACTATGAACTTGTGCAAATTGTTGTTTGTTGCACAAAAATTCTGTGAGAAAAATTCAAGAACAGTAAGAAATTTCCTCAAATCCTCACAGTTGAAGATGAATGTGGTAATTCTTTGTCCTGGCATGCAAGAATGAGAGTTATAGGGATACATAGCCCTAGAAAAAGACTATGCCACAAACTGAAACTACAGCAGTGTGGTTAAGTCATCCCAGGGAGATCACTTTAAGAAGACTTCACTGGATAAAAATAATATATAGACAAGATTTTCAAAAGCATAAAAATAAAATGTAATTAAAATGTAATGTCCCTGACATTATATTAATAAACTGCAACACATAATGTTACCATAGCATATCACATGTCAGGATCTGATAGCACTGTACAAAATACCAGTATGTTTTTTGTACTGGTGTCTCACTCTCACGTGTTTAACAATTCTTGCACCTGATGAAATGGATGATGTTTACAAAAGGATATGTATCTCCTCAGCCCTACTACTTGCAAGGGTCCTAGTTCAATCTGGTGTTTCACATACTTTCAAAATAAATGAAAGAAGAGGGGGAAATAATATTAACATAGTGTATACAGTGGTGCCTTGCTTAACGGGTGCCTTGTTTAACGATGAATCCGCATAGTGATGTTTTTAATGGTAAAACATCGCTTTGCGATGATCGGTAAGCTGTTTCGCTTACTGATTTTCGCATAGCGATGTTTTTGGAACAGCTGATCGGCGGTTCAAAAATGGCCACCGGGTAAAAAATTGATGTGTTTTCTCACCCATTCCTCGCTTACCGGGCAGCGAAAATGACGGCCGTATGGAGGATTTTCGCATAACGGTGTGTGTTTTTGCCCATAGGAATGCATTAAATGGGTTTAAATGCATTCCTATGGGCTTTTTTCCCTGCATAGCGACGAATGCGTATAGCGACAATTTTTCCGGAATGGATTATCGTCGCTATGTGGGGCACCACTGTAGTTTGAAATGAGGCCTTGCCACTGCTTTTGTCTTGTACAATAAATCTTTGTAGACACCCATTCCTAACTCTATCACATTGTAAGCAGCAATCTGCATCCTCAAATATATGCCACTAGACCACTTGATGTTGACCTTTTATCTATCAACTATCCTTTATTACTTCTGGTTTGTTTCCTTACCATTTCCTTTGCACAGAATATGAAAAAGTGTGAGCTGTGACAACCTAAATGATGGGACTGCAAGAATTATAATGCAAACACTTAACTTTTGCAGCCTCTTTCTTTACATCTTGATCCATTTGTGAACTCTGTCTTGAATGGTGTATGCTGGAATTATTAATAAGGCAGCAACTATGTGTTCCATTGTATTTTCAGTACTATCAATGTAAATATTAGTTTTAGCTTTTCTTTTAAAAATCTAAATAATGCATATGGAACTTCCTCTGTCTCTCCCCCCTGCCCAAGGATCAGTGTTAGGGACCTTTCCTTTTGAGAATTCTTGCTGGGGAACCTAGTGAATTTGAGAAATACTACAGAATCAAAAATAAGATTTTAGAAGAGATGTTCCATACAAGTTTTCAAACTTTGGAATATATTCATACCTATCCATTAAACTGCAAGGTTAATAAAGTATTTTCTGTTCTGCAAACTTGTAGCATTTTTTTATCATTCAAATAATTGTGCATTTGTGATGATAAAAATGTAAAATCAAATGGCTTACATTCCAGGAAATTTGTCACTGAAAGACCAACATCTAACCCAGCTTCATGTAACAGTATAAAAACATCACTCACCCTTCTCGCACTTAGATCCTGTATAAGGTTCAGGGCAACGACATTTATAGCTGTTTTTGCTCCTTTCACACACTCCATTATTCTGACATGGATTGGCCTGGCAGGGATTTACTAGCACAGGAAAATAAGTTTATTTTCTGATGAGAAATAAGTTTCTTCTACAAGGAAAGGATTATTAATGAAGCAGAATGTATTCCAGCACGTGTTTGTTTAGAACAATACATACAAAAACATGTACTTTAGGAAAATGCAAATTAAAAATAAATATGAATTTCCATAGTGGAAGAAAAATTTATCTCACAAACTAAGGTGAAGAAAAGGCTAGACAGTTAAAATAAAACTAAGAGACTTCCCTACTTGCGTAGAGGCAAAATTTGGAACAACAGCTGTGGAAATTGTGACATTGGTAACAATTGATTATTTGATAGCTTGTGCATTGATTCTAGTGATGTTTGCCTTCTTCAGCTTAGGATGTGTGTGTGATGGACTAGATGTTGTTGGACTGAAACTTTTATCAGTTCTAGTTTGTACAAGAAATAGTGAGGTATGATTAGAATTGCAATTTTGTACAGTAGTACCTCAGTTTACGAACGCCTCGGTTAACGTAATTTTTGGTTCACAAACAGAAATTCATAGAAAATAATGCCTCGGTTTATGGGCTGTTTTTTTTTGGGGGGGGTTGTTTCTATTTGCAAAGGACGTTTCTCTGGGACACATCGCTCCTGTTCCTATGGCAATCCGCATTTTGGTTAATGTAATTTTTGCTTTACGTAACATCACGGAGAACACATTGATTTCGTAAACCGAAGTACTACTGTATCTCCAAGGGCCATCATACCCTTGACCTACATAATAGGTTTACTTTACAAGAAAATTTTTACTGTCCTCCCAAACACAAATCTGGAGGAACAAATATGGGTTACATGGCTGGCCACTAACTAAGTAACCATCTCTGCATTCAGATGTACTGAATGGCTGACTGACTTTGAATCCAGGTATACACAATAGCTATCTCATTAGCTCCCTGCCTTCCTGTAGTAGTTTCAAATAATGTTCTCATTAGATTGAAATCTAGATTGAAATCTATGTAATATTTTGAAAGACCAGAAATATTGTGGAGAGTATATGATATTTTTGGTTCCTTTTCCAAATATTATATACACTTTCATGCTACTCATAGAAGTAAACTCATCATGAATAGGCACTGGATCTTAAAAATGGGATCTTAAGACACTGGTTATATGAGGAAAAAAACAGGTCAACATGTCACTCCAATTCTGGCCACCTTACACTGGTTACCTGTCAGTTTCCATGCCAGCTTCAGGGTAATGGTTTTAACCTATAAAATCCTAAATGGTTTGGGACTTCACTACTGGCAGAACACCTCCTTCCAATAAGATCTGCCCATCTTACAAGAACATCCCAAGCAGGCCGGCTGAGGATGCTAATCCCACCAGGGGCCTGGAGGGAGAAGATTAGTGTGGCAATCACCCTGCTTTGGCTCATGTAGGAGGTTATTTGCATACAATAATGAGAGTTGTTGGGAGGCAAAGCCAGAGAAACTAGAAGGGAGAGGTGAGGCAGAGAAGTGGAGTTTTGTGAGTGATTAAGTCAGTTACAGTGAGGGTCAGCGTAGCCTAGCGGTTCCTTCATCGTGATTGCAAACTCTAGCTACAGTGAGAGATGAGAGTCTGAAGTGAAAAGTCAGTCAGTTAGTCTGTGGGAGTTAGAGAGAGTGGTAGAGTGAGGAGTTAAGGGAGGCAGTTAAGAGTGTGGAATTTATAGAGAGTTAAGACTGAAACAAGTTATTACAAACCTACTGAATACTTTAAAATCTTTGAAGAACCTGTTTAAGTGAACTGAATCCAATAAATCTATTTTTGTTAAACTTTATACTCAGCATGGACCTCAATCTTTCTAATTGAACATTGTTGACAAAGATCAACTGGTGGCAGCGTAAAGGACGGAATGTGTTGTGGGCCTCAGGCTGGTGAAATAATCTGGGGACACGCAGGGGCACGTCCCAACGAGGTCCTTCTTGGCAGTTGCTTCTCAGCTATGGAATGGCCACACCCCTGCAATTTGCTTGGTTCCTTCTCTGGCAATATTTAAAAAGTCACTAAAAACCTGGGTATTTAGACAGGCACTCAGAAACATCATTATCAGTTCAGGGAGATTATTGTATTTCTTTAGTAAAGGATATGAATTTCATTTACAGAAAACATTTTGGATTACACAGTTCACTTTTTATTATCACTGAGAGTAATAAATGCTACTTTGTCTCTAGAAACTTTAAAAAATCTCCACCTCCTTAAACTTTAGTATAAGGGGACTGATAGATTTAGGATCAAGATTGATTGATTGATTGATTGATTCGCGAAGGCTTTCACGGCCGGGATCTAATGGTTATTCTGGGTTTTTCAGGCTCTTTGGCCGTGTTCTGAAGGTTGTTCTTCCTAACGTTTCGCCGGTCTCTGTGGCCAGCATCTTCAGAGGACAGCAACATGTGCTCTGAGGATGCTGGTCACAGAGACTGGCGAAACGTTAGGAAGAACAACCTTCAGAACACGGCCAAAGAGCCTGAAAAACCCAGAATAACCATTAGATCCCGGCCGTGAAAGCCTTCGCGAATCAATCAATCAATCAATCAATCTTGATCCTAAATCTATCAGTCCCCTTATACTAAAGTTTAAGGAGGTGGAGATTTTTTAAAGTTTCTAGAGACAAAGTAGCATTTATTACTCTCAGTGATAATAAAAAGTGAACTGTGTAATCCAAAATGTTTTCTGTAAATGAAATTCATATCCTTTACTAAAGAAATACAATAATCTCCCTGAACTGATAATGGACGTTCTGTCAATGCTAATAGATAAAATGTTTATGAGAAACAGCACAGTAAGTCCACTCATGTTGGTATTTCCATTCCATTTGCACTCCCTGTTTTCCTCTCACAAAATATGACCAACAAATACCATCATAATCTAAGTACTCATCAAACCAGTCAGGATATGTAGCAGGAGAACTAGATCCAGGATCAGTCACTTCCGCCTGTGTGTATTCAGTGCTGTATTCATAGTAATAATCATCAGCTGAGTCTGCAGATGGGATAGGAATGGAGAGATTGTGTTAATGATAAAATACAATTTAAAAGTTCATTATATAGTAAATAATCATTAATTTTATAGAATTGGGAGGCAAACTGTTTATATTAATGGGGGGAAATCTCATAAATGTGGAAGACTCAGGTGGATAATTTAGGTGCTTGTGGCAGTCCTTGGAGGAAGGGTGGAAAATATAAATGTAATAAATTATTTGTATCCATGTATTCTCAAAAGCGTTCACGTCTGGGATCTCATGGTTATTGTAGGTTTTTCGGGCTGTTTGGCTGTGTTCTGGAGGCTTTTTCCCCCCAACGTTTCACCAGTCTCTGTGGCCGGCATCTTCAGAGAACAGGAGCTAGAACTCTGTCTGTGTTCTGGTGAAACGTTAGGAAGAAAAACCTCCAGAACACTGCCAAACAGCCCAAAAAACCTACAACAACTATTTGTATCTAATTTATAAATAAATAAATTGGACAGTTTATATTATTCCTTTCCATCTTCTCAGAAGATTCAGTGTCATCCATGGATCATTAGCTAATTTTCCCAATAATCTTATGATAGAGATAGGACTGAGATACAATGGCTTGGCTTACAATACCCAGTGTTTTCATGGTTGAGCAAGGATTTGACTTTAAGGCTGCAATTCCATGTTATACTCATTTGTGATAAATCATTTTGTACTGAATTGGGCTCACACAATTTATGTGAGAGGTCCCAGGCTGGTTCTTTGGCTACTGAGTCAACATATGACATCACCCTGTGGAATTCAAGGTTATTTTTCACAACATCTACTATGATAACACTAACACAAGCTGATTTTTTTTTAACCATGCTAGTTTTCTCTGGCACACACTTTGAATATTTTCTCAGTATTTATCCTGCCTCATGAATATTTGAATATTTTGAAAAAAAAATCAAGTATGTGTACCTCTGAAGAGGAATTAAAAAGAAAATACAGTCTAGAACTGAGATGGTGGCCTCATCTGTAACATGAGAATCAATCTTATGTTTTGTGAAAGTGGACGCATAGACATAAATGCACTTAAGGGGGGTTTGGACATGATCTGCAACAGCCAATAGAATTTTACTTTATATATAATAATGTTTAGTAGGTTTTATTCAATATGACATTTTGGCAAGAATATGGCATTCTGAAATCTTTTATAAAACTGACCTCCTCATACATCCTTGTGCCAGTTCCTATTCTTGCATGTTTATCAAATGTCTGAGTAACACACATTCCATCTCAATGTCCAAATGATATTCCATCTTACATAGAGGCAAATTTCCAGTTAAATGAAATATTTTACCTTTTTTCACCTTTTAGTCCTTTTTTTCTTAAATATATCTATGTTTTTCCAAAGACTTTTTGTAAGAAAGATTATCATGGTAATTTATAATCCCTTTGTCACACAGTTCCATGAGGTGACAGCAACTTTGAGTATGGTCCTCAGTCCAAGAGAAATGCCATATTAAAAGTGCATAGCTTGTTTCAGGATGTCAGTTCCATTCAGGACCCTGCAGAAACCGCACATGTAGACTGAAACTACCACAGGATAAAGTACAGATAATTATTCCAGTCTTAGTAGCCGCATAAGAGAAGGGACATATTCACGAACAAAGGAACAAGTGGGAGATTCTCCTTAGCTTTGATCATGGTGCCACATTTCCAATGCACAGAAACAGATCTTTGTTCATAGCCATGGTGCTCAGGATACCCATTGACAAATAGCTTTCAGAACAGCAAAATGAAGATGGGGTGGCAGTTCTTTCCATAGACTTTTCACAGAAGTAGTTGATTAAGACGGGTCATCTGCTCTTTCCGGCAGGTGTCACTGCAGTTTGTTGGAACCACTGGTGAGTTTCAAAGAGCAGGTATGGTAATGAGGAGAGCGAAAATGCATACAGGGACACTTTTAAAAGCTCTCCCCTAGGGCTGGGACGATGGCCTGTTGGATAACGCTTTGCCTTGAACTGATTATCAACGACATTATCTTAGTTTTCTCAACTCATTCATTCTGTTGCAGCCTTTATCTTTGTTCTTCCTTTGCTTCTGATGAAAAAAAACTTTTTTTGTACAATGGATGCTTTATATTTCATATTAAAATAGAACCTTCTTTTTTTTTCTATGCGCCAACCCTGGTTTCTTAACGGTAAAAAAAAAAAGTTTCACCTCATTTATCGTTATGTCAAGTCAAGACTTCTTTTCTTCGCTCATTATTTTACAAGAGTCGAGTCTTTGCAATATGAAAGTGCTGCAGGAGTGCACGCCGGGCTGAGGAATAAGGATCTCATTCCAAGATAAGGCCATTGTCTTCACCGAGCAAATAAAGTTTAATGCAATACAATGGGAAAAGGAAAAACAAAGAGAGTATTCTCCAGGAGTTCAGACTTCAAGCTGTCATCACATGGTTGGATTTTGCAGAAGTTAGATTTTGCTCTGTTTATTTATTAAATTTTATATAACTAAAAGGTATCTTTGGCTCCTCTTATACTTTTAACACCTCTATGTCACCCTGATATTCTACTGTACTGATGAAACAAGAAGGATTTTTCCCCATTTCTGAATAATAGATCCAAATTTAGATACGTTGCGGCCACTTTTATGGTTTCTCCTTGATAATAATTGTTTTTTGTATAATGTGCTTTTTGTGTGATGTGCTTTTATTGGTTCCTAACATGAACCATCTTCATGTGAAGTTACCACATGATAGAATCAACCATTCAGAACATCTGTTTCAGGATGTTAAACACCTTTTGTTGTTGTTGTTAAGCCTGGTTCATTTTGTTTGAACATTTCTTTTTGGCTCATTTGGTCATTTTATTCAATAATTACTTCTAAGAATTCAACCAACAAAGCTTGAAGAATCAGAGACTACTTTGTATCTGAATTTGAGCCATTCATTCATTTATGGGATAGCTCAGTGGTTTAGATATTTGGCTTTGGAGCTAGAGGATGAAAGTTTGCTCTCCCACTACAGTGGTACCTCAACTTACAAACATCTCCACTTACGAACATTTTGAGTTATGAACAGCTCAGTTCGCAAAATGTTGCTTCGACTTGCGAATGGAGCCTCGACTTACGAAGGGAAAAACACTTTCCTGCCCTTTTTTTGACCTAAGTTAATCTTAGGTCAAAAGAAGAAGAAGAAATCCTCCCCCTAGTGGTAGAGTATGGATTAACTGGCTTTGCATTAGTTTCTATGGGAACTAATGCTTCGACTTAAGAATGGTGCCTCGACATAAGAACAAAAAACAGCAGGTACGGATTAAATTGTTTTCAATGCATTCCTATGGAAAAGTTTGCCTCGACTTACGAACTGTTCGATGTCTGAATGCGGTTCCAATACGGATTAAGTTCATAAGTTGAGATACCACTGTATTTCCTTGACAGGCTGGATTCTATGATCCACAGGGTCCCTTCCAGCAGTGCTGTTTCAAGAGTAAATCAGATAATTTGGACAGATATATTACAACTACATAATCTAAATCTATGTCTACAACTACACACCAGGATGTTATCATTAATTGTTCTAAGAGAGTTGACAACTAAGATATCCCAATTTGGCAAAACAAAAATGATGCTTGGTGTAATATTGTTAATACTGACTTTCAGAATTGGAATTTTGTCTTTAAACAATGACAAATGGGAAAATGCAAAATGTTTTGATCCAATGTAAGACGTGAAACTCAGAATGTGGCCACATTGACCATTTGAATTGATTTATATTCAGATGTTTTTAAATCAAGTTCAAGTCATGTGATATTTAAATCAGTGACCTCATTGACATGCGCTGAATGGAAATCAATTTATTTCTTATGATTTAAACCAGTTTTGGTATCTACGCTGCTGAAATTAACTCATTTCCTTTCTCTTTGAGGAGGATGCTATTAAAGATTTTGATTTTTTTTCCAAAAAAAGAGCAAGTGATATATCAATAAATCAGGTATCTAGGATGTGCCACCTGGTATCATAATAGTCACTAGAAACTATTGGGGGGGGACTGGAGAGGTGACACCAGCCAATTAATGATGAAAAAATAAGAATGGAGGGAAGCTTCCAGCTAATTTGTGGTGTGATGCTCTTGGTGTGTGGACCATCATCAAGGCCTTATGGTTCAAGTCCTGTTGCTTTTCTTTTAACCCCATGGAAGTGGGAGTTATTGCAGTAAGATTGCTTGGCTGGTCTGGACGTTCTCCTGGTAGCAAACAGACATTTAATTGGCTGTTCTACTTGATGCTTGGTGAGCTATGCTTGGGTTTTAGTACTGCTACCTGAGTATTTCACTCGATGGCATGAATGTACATAGTAGAAACTCAGCCTTAATTATTATATGCTATTTGTTTGCTGTGGAACCTATGAGCTGCTGACATTAGAAGTATCCAGTAAAAGGGAGGAAACGGTTTCCACATACTTTAGATTTTCAGTGGACATCTTTAGTATTAACTTAAACATGAATTATTTAACCCACCGATAAGGAAAAAAAAGTGAGGTTCGAGTGTCAATAATATTGTGTAGCTGTGGTGCATTTTTCTTTGGAATATTTTCAGTACTTAAATTTTTTTAACAGAAATGTTTATCTGTATCTTTATATTTCACAAGAATGCATCATTGGTGCAATAGCCTTTTAGTGCCATCTTGATCAATATACTTAAATGAGTCTGCTAATGACACAATATTTTGGAGGTCACTCATTCATAGGGCCACTCTGTGTTTTAGGTGACTTAATGGCATATAACAACAACATGCCTAGAAGTAATTTTCTAGGGACTTTCTAATAACAGGTACATTTTCATCTGCAACCTTAGTTCTCCATTTTTTTTTTTAAAAAAAGTGAATTCTGTTATTAAGCTTGGAACTATCTCAGAACATTGGAAATTTTTCACAAACATGTCCTTTGTCAGTGTATGAAAAGATGAAATCCATCTCTGTGAGATAAGTATTATATCTGTATTGTTATTTATTTATGCTACTAAGAAAGCAGCTGGCCTTG